GCGCTCTCCCATATCACATTCTTGGATATTCTCTCCAAGAATATTCACCTATTAGATGTCTTTGCAGTCATCACTGCAAACTTCTGCAGTAGAAGAATAGAAGTTACCATGTCATTAATGTCACCAAAGATAGCATTTTACATAAATGAAAAGAAGACGACAACAAGGGATCAGTAACTACACTGAGAAATTGCATCAGAGGAAACTATAGCTCTACCTGAGAGTTGCTTTTAAGCCTAACTTCTAATTGCTGTGATCAAACTTAATGTGAGGTCTGAGGTGGGTGGATGGGGGAGGATATCCATGTGACCTGGCTTTCAAAACCAAAAGGACCTTCAAATTTGGATTTATTTTTTTTTCATTTCACACTCTCAGGATATAAGAGCTACTTATCCCTGTAACTTGTGTTTCTCTTTCTCTTTGTATCTATCTGCCAAATACAGGAACTTTTTCACCCAGTCTCTTAGCAGACAAAATCATGAAATCATATATTTCTCTCTGAATCACTTTCCCTTGTAACATCTCTCCTTTCTTTGTGAATTACCTCCCTCTCAACATGCACACACCCTTCCCTTCCTTTCCCTTCCTTCTCAGTGCTCTCCCATATCCCACATTCATTCATTATTTCTCTGGCCCTTTCTGTCTTTGAATCACCCTCCCATACACACAAATAACACTAGTCTCCCTAGATTTCCCAAACCTTTCTTTCCCCTAGCTTCCCAAGCATTTCCTACTGATCTCCAAATCTCTCACACCAGTTCTCCTTCAGCAGAGATGGTTTGATTGATTGTTTTGGAGGTGGCAAGGATTCAGCATTGCTCCTTTTGAGATAGGATCAAGATGCATGGTAGAAACAGAAGTGGGGAACAGCTGGTTGTTGCAGTCTACAGTCTATCAGTCACCCAGAATAGTTTTAAAAATTCTGAGGAATCAGGAAGAAAAGAAAGGCAGAATGGGAGAGGTATTAGAGGACATTGATGCCTCTAAGGTTTGATCCCAAATCTAGGTAAAACTATACATTGAGATTAGTAGTCACTGCACTCAATATAAGCCTAAGGAACCTGCAAGTAACTTTAAAGAACTGGATCTTGGTTTCCATCTAGACACTTTGTGCCCTATTTGACTCAGTGATGGCTAACACCCCTCTTTGTGTGTGGCCCTGAATTCAAGTTGGAAAGATAAGCTAACTGCATTATTCATATCTTCTTCCTTGAGAAAATACAGGACAAGAATGATTACATGGGTGGGAAAGCTTTTGCCAAATGTCTGGTAATGTTTATAGAGTTTTCCTGTTACACAGTGGAGGAACTGAGGTAGGAATCAAGCACAAAAATGGGTTTGAAACAAATTTTAGAAGGATACAAAAAGCATCCTGTTATGATTGTTCTATAGACAAATCTGCAGATGCTAAAAGTTTCTTAATTTTTTTCCTTCTATCAAGTAACACTCCTGAAAACAAGATGGTGTTACACTTAGTGATAGGTAGTCATCTTTCTTACAAGTTGGGTATGTTTCATATTCATAATCCTTTTAAGGATTCTCTTTGAAGTGACTGTTTATGATAGAAGGCAGCTAATCCAAGTCCCGAGTATTGGTAATTGCTTTGTTTCAGTTATACATTTTCCTGATATTGAAATGGAGAGTATGTATAATTCTCCAGTTTCTGGTATCACTTGGGTCTTTCTTAGGAATATCCTTTTTTCTGCCATGACCACCATCTCAACCCTACCCCATGAGTGAAACAGGATTAAATCACCTTTGGCTGTACCAGTGTTAAAGTAGTGTTGTACTTAAGTCAACAGCATCTAGCTATAACTGCAAAGCATGTGAAATCTGTTGTGCTTTGCTATCCATCACGTTGGAACCAAAGTCAAGTGAACAAGTAGTAAGGAAAGTTAGAAAGGTCCTTATTGGTTATTTCAGTGCCTTTGGTCACTGGTCAGCCTTGTCTGCCACCTTTTTGCTATTGTCTCCCTAAAGATCTCAAAATAGTGATGCAAGAAATGCAACAAAATCTTTTTGACAGGACTTGCAATAATGTAACTTCACTGCCTTCTGAATAGACACAAGGAGTCTGGAAGTTGGTGTTTATTGCCTATATAAATAAAGAAAAGGAAGTGGAGTAGAAGTTCTAAATAAAAGTGCTGTTTTGACTGAGCTCCTTTCATGACACTGGTGTATTTGTATTTTACTTTATTCAATTTCGGTTATGACAGAATAGGATGTAGAAGGAGGGGGCATAGGAAAGAGCCAAGATATGATGGATAGACAGTCCTAAGCCAAACCCTCCCCATTCTTGATGTGGTACTATGATTGGCTGATGTTTTTCTGCCTGCTTGTGACATGCAGAAGAAGGAAAGCAGCAAAGTACGAGGAATCAAATGATCACTTTGTTTATTACACTTTGTTGCACCCCTGTCTGAGTTGCTGGACCTCATTGCTAGGTTGATAATGGAGCTGTCCAGGCTTTTGGTCCTGGGAGATGTCAATTTGTCTTCTTTGAGGAAGGGGTCAGAAGCATCCACCATGATTTCGTGGCAAGGTGACCACCATGGGCTTGTCCTAGGTCTTCATCTGCCCAAGCCATGTGGAAGGGCGTATTCTAGATCTGGTTTTTGTCTCAGAATAATTGAGATGTGATCTGAAGGTAGATATTTCTATCACTGCCTTGTTGTGGTCAGATCACTCTCTGAAGTCCATGGAGCTCATCAGTGCCACTGTCATGGCAAGCTCAGACTCAGATGAGGAGACCAACAATGAGTAGCTGGCTTTAGAGTTACCAGATGAACCGCTGCCTGAGAATCTGCAGGTAGTTGAGGTGGGGCCATCCGGTAATCTCAGCTGCCATCATCTCCAAAGATGAAGAGTCTGAGCTGCCAGAGCTCAAGGGCTCATCACACAGAGAATTAAGCAGAACAAAGGCATTCTGTGAGGCTCCTTGCAAGAAAGGAGCTGTGCCGTCCATAATGAGCAACATCAGAGCTGTCTCTACTTAAGTAGATCAGCAAACCGAAGCCTCTCTGTAGGCAACAGCTGTCTGCTAACCCAGATTCTGTGTGCTTTGAATCCCTGACTTTGGCTTTGGACCATGGACCGGCTGAGAAATCTTCTGTAACTCTTTAACTATTGGACTTTACTTTGTTCCTGCTGCTTTCCATTTGGGACTCATGTAAAGGCAAGCTTGCTTGACTTTGGGGACCTCTTTCTTGTTGTGTGTCTGTGTGTGTTGAGCTCACATTCTCCCTGCCCCTTGGGCACTTATCTAACAAAATCACAGTAAAGTTTGCAACCACCTCTCATGTATTTGTGCATTTGGCCTGGGACAGGACAGCCACTGTCCTTCTCAAGTAGATGGGCCCATTTGGTTGGTCTGCCCTGATGTGTGATGGATCCACTTAGTTTCCAGGAGGTGTTTGGGGATTTTCCCATGAACCTGGCAGGAAGTTGTCAACCTCTGAAATATGAATCCAACTGAGGCACTTGACAGGATTGCTCCTGAGAATCCTCTCCCTGTCCATCAGTCCAGGGAGGGGCTTGTTGTTATACTGAGGAGTTCCAGGAAATGAAGCACCAGAAGAGATGCATGGAGATACCTGAAGAGCAATTAGGACATGACATGGGTAAGGACTCAGATTTCAGCTACACCATGGCAGTAAGCATCAACATTCACATCTGCAGATTGCCACCCAGCAGCACTGTTTATAGTTATCTGGACCCTTCTGAAGAATGAGAGCTGGGACAATCATCTGCTGGGCCATTGTGATGAATTTGAAGAATGAATTTGCTTGCACTCACATGGAGCTAGATGGCAAATGACAGACATCTTGTCAGGTTATCTGAGATTTGCTTTGAGCTGCTGGATTTCTAGGAAGTGGACAGAGTTCTCTCTGCTGTTAGTTTGACCACTAGACTGGACCTCTGAACCACTAGCTGGTGAAAGCTGCCAGAGGTTGATAGGAGGGTTATATATGAGCATTCATTGGAGAAGAGTTAATAACTTGAAGCTATGGCTTCAGAAGCTGACTGGTTTTAGCTCTAGTTAGGGTCAAGCTCCCCCATGCAGAGCAGGAACACAAATGGGGATACTTTTGGATTTGCAGTTCCTGCTGGAAGAGGTACACTAATTGTGATCAGTCCAGGAATGGTAGGGTTTGATGGTTGTTACTGATGGTACTAGTACAATTCTCTCCATGTAAGGCTGCCCTTGAAGACTATCCAAACTTATACAATGCAGAATGCAACA